AGTGATGCTTCTCTTATATAGGCTGGTGTTAGCCGATACTCGCAGAACACAAATCTTCTAATAAATGAGAGCGTCGAGCAATCGTAAAGGATATGCTCGATGCTCTCATCTTCTTGTTCGCACCCTCTGCAGAGTGCAGATTCTGACGGCCCCATGATATGGAGATGCTTTGGTTCTTGGCAATGACCATTCAGAATGCCTGTGACTAGGCGCAGATTCTGTCTAGTCATAGTCAAGTATTTGTTTGCTGCAGTGTTGTCAGGATAACTTAAGAACTCCCTGGCAACTCTGCAATTTCTTGTTTCATCTCATCTTTCCTTGAATTTCACAAGGGAATGTTCTTTGATTAGGTCTGTCACTCCCGATTTTGTCAGGCCAATAGAAGGGCCAGGTCCAAAAAGTATTTGGTTGGCTGCTTTCTTGGCTAGTGAATCAGCAAGACTTTGAGAAGGAGAGTACTTTTCAAATATACCACCGGAAATCCCATAAATCAACATTTTTTTGTATTAAAGCCTTATGAGGATCATTTATGTAAACGTTTTCTTAGAATTATATCTGTCATGCTCAGTAACTACAAATGCGCGGTGTTACCAAGTGCCCAATTAATATCAATCAAAAAGAAATACACAAAAGTACTTCATTTTTGGCACATTTCTAAACACTTTAAAAAGCACTACTTCTATTAATTTATCTAATTTCCAGTCACGTCCGACGATTTATCTATTTTGATTGAATTTTTGTATATTATAATAATTAATTATTAAAGGAAAAGGTGCAAATATGGAATATCGTTTTGTTTGGTATATAAAAAAATTTTTGTTAGTGAATAGTTTTAAGCCAAATTTAAAGAAAAGGTACTTTAGACAATTATACACCAAAATGTAAAAGCAAATGTGTAATTATCTTAAACACTTTTTCAAAAAACAAGTTAGAAAAAAAAACTACAAAATTCCCACCTTAGAATATGGAATACTTTATATATCTACATATTATTTGCACCAGTCACAAATATATTCGTTTTTTTCGGCGCCTCCATACTCATTATGAGCCCATTTTAAGCACATTAAATATTGGACCCATAGTTCTCCTTTCTTATCAGCAGAAAACGAACTATCGCAAAACATGCAATGAGCATCGTCCTCATTCGGTTTCAGTTGTCCCGGCATATCTTTCAAATCGTTGTCAGAATCGTCAATTTTTACATCTTCGCTTGAATCCTCAGATTCATCAGCAGAAACTGCATTCTTTTGACGTTTTATTTTGTACTGTGACTTCTCCTTTTTTTGAGAATCTTGTTTTTGTTTCAAGGATTTTCCTTAAGACAAGTTTCTTTTAACGCCACGCGATTTTGCCTCCTTTTCAGTTTTTTTATTTATTGACTCATTTAGTTCGTCTTTGTAAGGTGATGAGGTAATAACAATAGATCCAATTCTCTTGCGTCCTCTGTTGGTTTTTTTGCGGATTGTGTTTGGGACTGATATTTCGAACAGTGAAACAAACTTCTGGGTTGAATCTACGTCTTCATCTTGGCCTTGGTCATCTTCATCTTGATCTTGGTCAACAGCTTGAATTCTGCCAGGTGCATTGTCTTCGCATGGCGTTTTAGAGCATGAAGGTTTATCGACTCTTTTCGCTGCTTCTTGTTCCGCAGCAATGAAGTCAGCTTCGGAAAAAACATTCCTGTTAAAAGGGTAAATACCAGTGGTGCGAAAACCATTAGCCGCTATTGTGTATGTCTGAACTTTTTTTTCGTAAGCTCTACTAAATAGCTTCATTATATCAAAAGGACTAAGAGCCCGTTGGTTTTGACGGATCCAAATACGAATTTCTTCACTATAATAAACTTTTAATGGCCCTATAAATGACTTATCCAAAGGCTGGAGCTTGTGCGTTGAGTGAGGAGGCAGACATAAAATGTTAATATGGTTTTCCCTTGCAAGGTCGATAACGTCGAAAATGCGAGTGTGGCTGTAATGGCCGTCAAAGATTAATAGGAGGGGGGTTTCTTCAGTTGGTTTAGTGTACTGGATAAAGTGACGGAACCACTGGGTGAAAATATGGGACTGTACCCAACCGGATGGATGTGCAATTCCTACGGACCCAGAAGGAGCTCCCTTTATGAGCTGAATGTTCATATTTGTCCTAGGAAAAATAACCAAGGGAGGGACATAGTTTCCAAACGCACTCATACAAAAAACAACTGTAATCAGAGCCCCTCTCACTGCTGATGTTAATGAAGCCTTTCAGCCCTATTATTGAAGAAACTTTACTTTGGACAATTGTTAACCCTGATTCGTCTACATTATAAACGTTGTTTGGGGAATAGGGCATTTGCTTTTCAAGGAGGTCAAAAAAGCCGGCAACTCTTTCTTTACAAAAACCTGCAGCTCTGGCAAATTATGTCCCCGTTGGCTTCCTTATTGACAATTTTGGATGTCGCTTTAAAAACGAATCAATCCAGGCTCTGTCTGCTAATTCAGATGTAGAAAATGAGTGTTTGATTTTATTCCTTATGGCCAACTGATAAGCCATGCGCTTCAGATTTGTCATTGTGAGCCCGTAACATTTTTAAAATGTAATCAACTAGTAGCTTCTCTAGCTCTGGTCCCAAAACACATTTTCTTCCAAGTTTGGTTGCTGCAGCCTTATCTTGTGGAACTGTGTTAATTTGACTCAGACGAAAGAGCGTTGTACGAGGAACCCTATAGGATTTGGATGCCTTGAGATATCCCATTGTTTTTTATCTCACTGCCTGGATGGCCCTAGCCATGTCCTCTTCCTTTTATTGTTTTCTTTTATTATTGCAAGACGGACGTAGTATGCCATATTACCAACAACCCATGTCACCAATATTTCAGATTAGATCTAGGCTATCATAACAAAAAACTAAACAAATGCAACGTCATCTTAAACTTTAGTTTATATACAGTGGCATCGTAACAAATATTTAAATAAAAACATGCAAATAAAAAAAAATTAGGTTTGCATATTCGCTTACGTGTTAAACTTTTAAGGACGCGAAATTCACATGTGCACACCTCAAGAACCAAAACCATACTAAAACGGCGCGGGGTAGATCGCCTACAATAAAGATGGCAAACAAGCATAAGTTTAGCCGGTTTTCGATAGGGGGGCGGTATTTGGTTTAGTCAAAACCGAGGTATTCCATATTACATGCATATTCCATATTCACACATTCTCCTCTAATATTGCGACATCTATCAAGTAATAAACAATGTACTTTTCGAAAACTTTTAAACTTAATTACTTTGTGTTATTTAAAAGTTTATAAACTTTTTTGAAGCAATGACGCCAGCCACCCTCAACCAACGACTACTATTAACTAAAGAGGATACCTTAGCATAACCAGTCGTACGACGCTTTTTTTGTCGACATTCTGGTCATCAAGTTCCATTGGAAATCTTCCATGAAGCAGTTTTTCTTTCCATTCATTGATCAAGTCTTCCTGCGGTTTGATTTTTCTATTGTCATCTCGGTCTTTAAGGTTTAGCGGGGTGTACAATCTGCATGCACTATGGCTTGGTGTAAGTTGGATCGTTGGCTTGGGTAAAAAAGTACTCTCTCATTTTATTTACTTGTGTATTGTGGAGGTTTGTTATTGATAGTAATCCCCTTCCGTCTTCTTTCCTAGTTAATCCTAATCTCTAGTTAAGTTATTTTAGAATCAAAACTTATTTTTAAAAAACAAAACTTTATTTTAAATTACAATAAAATACTGGTTTACTCGACCGAGGTTAAAGCAAGAATGAATTAAATGTTAACAAGAATTATCTACAATGAAATATGATATCTGTACAATGTCACTATTATTTATATAACACTATAACTGCACTATTGGGGTGTGAGTATCGGTATTTCGTAATTGCGGAATTTGTCTTCATTTCCATTTCTTTTAGGTCTGTTTCTGTCCATTTAATTATACTGAACGAGTACGTTAGTATGGATATAGCCCTTTTGTTGAGCACACTGAAGAGATTACGACTATTAAGAGATGACTGTAAACATAAATATAACTTGCCCAAGAAGCAAACAAGTATTATTTCTAAACCTATGAACAATTACTTAACCTACTTAAATAAAATATACAATACAGGGTGATATTTGCATATCACAGGAGAAACCGTCCTTGTAATATAGGTAAATGGAGAGTTCTCAGAAAGTCAGCCGCTGACGTTGAAATTAAGAGCTCATTTCACTGAAAGTTTTGAAGTGGCAAATATAATTGGTAGGACTAAGGGAGCGCTTATTTTATAGCTAAGAAATCTAGAAATTTGTGAAATAGCGAAAAGTGTAAGCGATATCGAGAACGTAAAGGTTTGGTTAAAACTAGTGCTTCTAATGAGTTAAATATGAGAATGCCGTTAAAAAAAAATAACGAAATAGACGGTACCGTGAGCGTATAATGATGCGCAAACTTGAAAATTCTGATGTTTACTCAGTTATTAAAATGTATTAGCGACGCAAATGTAACGAGTGTGAGCACGAGTTGAATTTTCCAAAGATAAGGACTGTTACGAGTTGTTATTTTAAAACAATATCGACATTTAAGCGTACATCGAAATTATATTTACAAAGAGTATCATAACAACCATAAGACAGCGATTATAACTGACAGATAATGGTTTGTATCAAAAGAAGTTGTTTCGGAATCATGGTAATCTATATACCACAGCGACAATACCATACCGTGTTATTGTCGCTTATTAAAAACAAAATTCAGTCAACTCAATTGGTCGAAATCAACGTCATGTGACATAGCAAATACTTTCTATTTCACTATTAAAAAAAACAACTAAACAAATAGAATAGAAATGATCTTTACAAAAATTAAACAATAGCTTTTATCTGCGATATTTTTAATTTTAAATATAATCTGTTCCTTTATATTTTATGTTAAGTGATACAAAACAGCGTTTTCCTCATTAACTCAATAATTAACATCAGATGAATACATTTTTAACAGCTTGTACTTGTTTCAGAACATCGCCAAGATTATCCGCACGTGCATGCTCCCCTTAAAATCTGTTCAAAGTCGATGAAACGTCGAGTTTCCCAGACAGCATCGGCGGTCCCCTCCAATCTACAAACTCCTAGGGGCTCAATTACCGAATCACCTACTTTGGAATTGATACAGCCAGATACGGATACTTCAGGTAAGTGCCACTTTGAACACAACTCCAACTATTAATAGACATAATTAAAAGGGAATTCTAATACCCGATATCCTGGAGATAATAGTGTAAGGGAGACAACAAAACAAATAGGGTCAGACGCTTCAAAGGTTAGAACTTAGAACGCGTTAATTACAATCTGGTTGGAATACAATAACTTTGTTCGCTGAGCTATGGCACGACAGCTTAACATGCGGATTTCGATTTTAAGTGTTCGCGGAGTCGAAAATCAAGGTTTTCGCAATAAAATATGTAGCGATCGTGGAGCAGTGTCATTAGTTCGCCATAAGTTCCCAGAAAGTTTAGATACCGCTATGGGTAGCCTGTCAATACAATAAAATGAGCACCTTCTTGTTGGCCCCCATGTTAAATGGAGTATGTTTCGGCTACACTGATTTTTAGTGAACACTGATAATTATGCATTTCGTTCATTGATATAGCAACTAGAGGATAAGTCATTATAACTATTTTTGATATCCAAAAATGGAACCGGTAGGTGTGGCTCTTGCACTAACTAAAATGACGGAAAAGCAGGTCCGAATTTACATTTTTTTACTATTTATGGTTAAGTAAATCTGATAATTCGAATTCAAAAAATTAATTGCCTTTACAGACATTTTTTACTATTAATTTTATTATTAAAATAAAAGTTATAAGCATATATGAATCAAAATCGTATTAATTTGTGTCTAAGAATAATAACTGTTTTTTCCATAACCGGTCTTTTCATGAATTCTTCGTATACAAATTTTCGAAAGTTTGTTTTTATAATAAATAGTAAGTTACAATTTTTTAATCATCGTACCTATTTTATTCCCTACTGATAGATTTAAGAAAGATACGGATGCTTATCAGACTCCCAAAAAATAAAATATGAGTCATTTAAGACGAAAACTATAGGCGATTCAAATTAAGATTTTTGCGCGCGCTGTCGATCAGCTGATTTCGCCCGAAGGTAACCTACATAACCTTAATTTTTGCTAAAGTTAAAGTAGTTTTTCATACGGTGTATTGTGGTTAATCGGTTAATCAGTGTTTTTTTTAAATTGGTTTCTTTAATTGTTGTTCTATTCTTTGTTTGTGTTATTTTCGTAAATATAAATATTAGACTTTTCACCTCTGAGTAAAGTTATGTGTAGGTTTACTTGACAGATTAACAAATAATAGCCCTATAGTTTAATCAGCAAGTAGTTACTTTCACCTTTACTCAAAAGAGAAAAACTGGCCCTTAGTGTGTTAGAAATATTTAACTATTTAAAAGCGATTCCAGCTTTCAGACATGTCAGTGAAGGCGAACAATTATTAAATGCTACTCATTTATTGTTATGCGGTTTAAAAGAAGCATCAGGTGAACACAATATAAATACTAATATTAAAAAAGTAAGATATTTTCCATCATTCATCAACAAGGAAAAATTAATTGAGTTCTGTCTGCAGGCATCTGGTGTAAAAATGGTGGTAACGGTAAAAAAAATTGTTGATGTTTCCTTTAAAGCTGGCCTAGGTGGAAAATGCAAACATATTGTTGCATTTTTAATCCAGGGCTCAAGATTGTATTGTCCAATTCATAAATACTTCATCGCTTGTACAATTTATCAGCACATGCGCATTTGAACCTCTCTTCTCGTTCGTGCCATTTTTATTTGTTTTTTGTTGTGATTTTAAGTTAGTTTGGAGTGGCTTGGGTTTTTATTTCTTTCAATTGAAATGAATAATTTTTGTATTTATCTTGTGTACGTTTTTTTTAAGTAAAATACGTACTTAATTGTTAATATAAATAAACATCTTAAGGTGTTAAAATTATACATTCACATAAATCGTTCGAGACAGCTAAAGAAATGTATTATGTTGTATTTTAAATTATGTTTAAAATACCAATTCACCAAACATGTGATTGGTTTGTCCAATTCCGTTGCTTTTTTCGTTCCACGTATAAATCGCTGATAAAACAACAGATGAATAAAGGGACTGACATGCAGTGGTGGCTCGCTAGATGGCACAGGTGACGCGCTGCTTCACCAAAATTTCAGTAGAAATTAATAAAAAAATCAATTGAATATTTCTTTTTCTATAATAAAATGCCCTGCATTTGTCTCTATACAAATTACAAAACAGAAACCTCCAAAACTTTACCTAATTTCGGGGTATCTGGACCACTGCATGAAACAACGAGGCGCTTGATAAAAAAATCCGACCGTCCGGGCTCGCTTGTTTTTGGAAATATAATACAATAGAAAGATTCCCTAATCCTAGCAAACAGAGCGCTTGACGCGCTATGCATAAAACCGCCGAACACGCGACTCTTCTATCGCCGCGTTTATGATGGTTGCCATGGTAACGGCACGTTTCGATCTAGCCGATTAATGCATTTGACGCGTTGATTCAGTTTGCTTCTTCCGGCCGGGACTATTTTTATACAGTGGTTGGACTAGTTGGTCAATTGCGACTATTGCGAGTTTTTTCGATTTTTCTAAAAATGTTTCCAGTACATGATCCAGTATGTATGCTATTGGAGATGCCATTCTGTAAATGGGAAAGTGAGGATAAAGAGACTTTTTAAATTCGCCAAAAACTGAACCTTTACTAAATATAAGCAAAAAAACTAAGTCAAAAGATAAAGAGTGTTAGTGCAAACATTTCGGAAAGAGTGGTATTCCTAATGTAAATGGTTGTGTGGTAGTTTTTATTTAAGCAAGCTTTTTTGCGTACCCTGTTTGATAGTAGGTGTAATATCAAATGTATGGAATAAAGACGGTTTAAGTGATTTTGGGAATGTAACCCACGTCCTACATAAACATGAATCATCATGTGAACATATGCGTTGTGGATTAAGATTTACAGAACTAAAAAAAAATTAAATACTATTGAAGACGCTTTAAAAGAAAACTTTAGGCTATATGTAAAACAATTTAATGAAAAAGTGCATCTTAACAGATGTTTTATGCAGTTGCCAATTCGAGCAGTTCTTTTTCTGGGAAAACCAGAATTGGATTTTTCGTGGTCAGAATGAAGATAAATCTTAAGGAACTTTTAGATTCCTATATCTCACTCAGTTCTGTAGACATTGTAGAACACTATAAAAAAAATTCGCTTGTATTTGCCGCTAATTTTAAAATAATTCAAAATGAATTAATAAAGTGTATTTCTCAATATATTACCAAATATATTGAAATGGAATTAAATGATTGCAATATTTTTCCATTCAAGTAGACGACTCAACAATTCTAATGCTAGTGAAAAAATTAAGGGATAAAAAAAATCTCGATTTTTTGCGATTTTTCGAGTAGCTGTATCTTTGATAAAAGTGGTCGTACGTGAATGAAAAAAAAGCAATTTGAAGCTTGAATTGTCTAGTTTATGGATCTTGCGATAAAAACCAACAATTAGCACAAAATCCTGATAAATATCATGGATAGAAAAACGCGATCTTTCAATTTCTTCAAAAATTCACTCGCATGAAACAATGAAACGGCTTCATGGATCAGGTTGATATTTTGTAGGGCTTTCGGGGGAATAATGGCCTGTAAGATGCATACTCAACATTATTCATTTTCTCAATATTCTCAATGTGGCACGTGATTATCTAAAAAACCTCAAAAAGACCTGTTTCCCGAAATTCTTCAAAGTCATGCTAGGGATGAAAAAAATTTTTTCTCGTGAAAGAACATGCCGGAACCTTAGGTATAGAGAATGAATCGAAGTTTCCGAAACCCCCTTCCATTTTCTGAGTGGCCATTGGTTCCTGAGATATTGACGAGAGAAGAGGAAATGACGCATTTTCGTTCATTTTCTGATAACTCAGCAAGGAAGGGTCTTCTCGAGGCCATCAAAAAAAGGAATTGAAGCTAACTGAACCACCTATCCAATGCATATAGTGGTTATGTCGAGAAAATTTGTTTCAAGCCGTACAATAAAAATAAAAAAAAAAAATTCAAAAATTTTTTTATCCATGAAACTAAACACTTCAGGCTTCAAATTGCTTTTTTTTTTCATTCACGTACGACCATTTTTACCAAAGATACAGCCACTCGAAAAATCGCAGAAAATCGAGATTTTTTTTGATCCCTTAATTTTTTGCACTAGTGTAGCATAATAATTAGGTATTGTTAACTCTCAAGGAAAGCTAGTTGAAATATTTTTAGGATTCCATGCGATGTAAGTTCTGATCGAACAGCTCAAGCATTGTTTGCCCTAGTTACAAGTTGTCTGAAAAAATACGACTTCAAATCAAAACTTGTTGGACAATGTTATGAAGGCGCGTGTTATGTTAGGACAATTAAGTGGTTTACAATCGAAGATTAAGGAAGTAGCACCAGAGGCGGTGTTCGTTCATTGTTTGGTGCACCGTCTGAATTTAGTCCTGTCTCAAATCTGTAACAGCATTTGGAAGTGACGTATATTTTTTGCTAACGTGAATGGTCTGCCTTCTTTTTTTCATCATTCAGCAAAAAGAACTCACGCCGCCGATGTAATCCTCAATAAGCGAATACCCACTTCAGTAGTTACAAGATGGTCATCTAATTCTAAGATTTTGAGTCTTATTCATAATAATTGGAATTCTCTAAAACAAGTTTTTAATGACATTTTAAACGACCCAAATTCTGATCAGGCTTCAATAAGACGGAGCCAGGGCTACTTAAATATGTTTAATGACTTTGAATTTGTTCTTCTAGTTATTATTTTTAACGTAATTTTTTCTATCAGCGATGTACGTTCTTTAAATATAAATTACTGTGTATCTCAAATTAAAAATACGCAGAATCAACTAAACGCTAAAAGAAGTGAAGATATTTTTGCAAATATAATTGATTCAGTTTCCCTAAGAACAGAGCTGACCACTGAGCACCGTGATGGGCGCATAAGACAAGTCTTGACAAGAGATCAAGTAGTTCAAAAATATAAAATTATGTATTATGAATTCCTGGACACAATTTTAGAACAAATCAACACTCGCTTTCAGGATACTGATAAGCTTCAGTTCGTAACATTAATGGATACTTCCAAATTTTCTGTATTTCGGAAAGCTTTCTTACAGAAGCACTAAATAATTTAGTTCAAATGTATCCTAGTAAATTAAATGACTTACAAAGGTTAAAAAGTGAGTTACCGTTTACAAAGGTTAAAAAATGAGTTGCAGTTTATTTACAGTGATGAAAACTTTATAAATATTGACATCGATAAATTGTAGGGAAAACTATTTGAGAATCGTGATATTTTCAAAGAAGCTTATAAGGTATATTGCTTAATCTTAACTATTCCATCCACTAGTGTTTCAGTCGAACGTAGTTTTTCTTGTTTAAAACGAATTAAAACATATCTACAAAATACAATAACAGAAGACCGACTTACCAATTTAGCAAAAATTTTAATTGAAAAGACCCTCTTAAATGAAATTGTACGATCAGAGCCATTTTTTGATGATATAATAGATAATTTTGCAAGTTTAAAAGGAGAATCGACCTTATGTACAAAAAATAAAAAAAGTCGATTTTTTTTGTGTTTTATTTTCAACGCGTCACCTACATTCAAACCCACGAGCCGCCACTACTGACATGCGCAGTGATTAGTTTAGGAACGCATCCATGTACAAGTCAGAGACACATCGGATAAGAGCTGTTGGGACAAACCTTAAGTTTTTTATTATACAATCCAATACAATCCTAATGTTCATTGGTTGAAACTCTAAATTCTTATGATGGAACCAATTATTACTCTTTTTTGTCGCCTTAACTCTACCTTAAATATTAGTTTTGTCATTTTGATTTTTGTCACTATGATGTAAAGTGACATCTAACCTTAATTTTTAGATTTTATTTCAGTTTTTGACTAAGTAAATTTACATATATATTAGAGCCTATTCAATATATTGAACAAAATCGACAAGAGTAAATAACCAAAGCTGTAAAATTGTAATTTACATACTTTGCAATTGAGTTAAATTGAGGTTATAAATTGAACTCTTTTCAGGAAATCGCCCAATTGCCCGGGTAGTGCCTAGTTCAAAATTTGATCTGGATACACCGAAAAACTCTACTACTGATTCGCCAAGCATCATCAATCCTGAATCTGGTAGGTTACTTTTTCCCTTAAGCATTTACTTTATTTGGATCAAATTAATTTAACTTCTATTTAAATTATTTTATTTATTTAATATTGCCGCATTTAGGGTTCTGTATGGTTCCCTAAACGAGCTGAGGGGTTAATTGTAGCTAGATGGTAGAACTTTTAATGAAGCTGAAACTAGTAGCCAGACTTAGCAGCCTGTGTGAGAAAATGCATACAAGTTGGATATCACAAAATAAGGCAATTTTATTACTTAATTTGTCTTATTATAATAATATTAGTAATAATAACAATAATAATACCGATGACACCAAAAAAAATAACAATAATGATAATAAAAAAGGGAGATTATCCGTATTTGGAAAAATAAATATTAGTAAAAATGAAATGAATATAGGTACTTTAAAAAAACTTTAAATGTATATTCAAATTTTTTAAACGAAAAATTTAAATCATACATAAATATATTCCTTAAGTAATAGGGCTACAAGAACATGTCAATCGAAAATACAGTATTGAGTGCTGAATTGTTGAAATTATTATATTTGTTTGCTAGAGTAATACCTAACACAACAAACATATTGTTTTTTTAATGAAAAATAACCGGCGCTGAGTTTTATCATACATAAATAGAATCCTCAAGCAATATGATATAGGAATAAGTTAATTAAAACTACAATATCCAGTGCTAGAACGTTGAGAATATCAAAAAACATTTATGCTCGAGAGACATTTCCAATAAAAATGTGATTTCTCTTAACGAAAAACCGCATTCACTGGTGTCTTTGCAAGTTCAAGGAATTTTCATAAAAGTAACATTAATTAAGAAACCTGAATTTATACTTTCTCTTTAGAAATGATATACCTAAACTAAACATGAATGTGAAAAATTAAAATAATAATTTAATGAGAAATATTTTTTACTAAATAAATACTTCTTTATCTATTTTACCTATGGTACATTAACCCTAAATATATTATTTAACTGTATCAAAACATTTAAGTAACGAATACTAGGAATCATAGCTGTAAACCTTTTCAAAAAAAGACTAGTGTTGTTGACGAGTACCTTCGCCAAAAATTAAAATGAAAGTTAATATTGCATGGTTTTAAAAATTTGGTGGATGAGTTGTATTTATCGTAGTGCAGACACCAAAATATTTTTTTTTTCTATGTAATAGAAAGTAAAAAACCACTACCCTTAAATTAGTCGAAACGTATCCGTATTTCGAAAATCGCCAAAAATTCGCATGAAACATTTTTTTTGGATAATTTTTTTGGAGCATTTGTTTGCTGTAGTGTTGTTAGGATAACTTAAAAGCTCCCTGGCAAGTCTGCAGATTTTTGTTTCATCCCATCATTCCTTGAATTTCACAAGGAAATGTTCTTTAATTGGGTAGGTTTATCACTACCGATGTTTTCAGTCCAATAGAGGGGCCAGGTTTGTGAAATTAAAGGATATGTTTAAAAGATTAATTATTATTATTATTATTATATAATTTCTAAAATTATATCTATAATAATTAAGGGCAACCAACGAATGTATCTAAATGTTGTTTTAGCATTATCTTTAACAAATCTAATAGGTATTAAAGAACAAACGAAATAGCTTTTACGTATTATATAGGAATGATAATATATTAACTATTTTACTATTTAATAAACTACACTGAGAGAATTATATTTAAAAAGTGTTTTGTTGAGAAATTTCTTGCTACCACAAATAAATTTTTAGTTGCAATTAAAAAAATACATTCATGCAACTAAATAAAATGCTTTTTTAAAGTAGTTTTGTCGCCATACAAAAAAAAATTGTTACCATTGCAAATATTTTTTTTCAGTCTATAGAACCAGCAAAAATAATTTTTGCTCTTAAAAATAGTTTTTAATTACTAAACATTTATTTTCTGTAGTAGAAATTCAAAATATTAATAGGTATATTTTTCATCATAACAATTCGCTTTTTAAGTCCAATAAAAAATATCTTTAGAAAATAACGATCGGTTTCGATCGAGAGCTTCTTCGTCTATACTCGAGAAAATTTTCCTGTATTCGGCATACCCCGTTCAGTCCGTTCCCGCCAGTTCCCGGTATATATCGCAATAAAAGGTCTATAGTATACCGGCAAGTACTGACAAGAACAAGCCGGCGATTTGTGATTTTAGTTTTAGTTATAATTATCCTAGCCGCTAGCAAAGGTCACCTACGGTTACGTTGGCAGATAGGCAAATCGTAGGTCTGACGCCAGTTTTGCATTTTTATTGGGCACACATTGTGTTTGTTTCCAATTGATTACACAGAGAAGTTAAATAATTGGGGATTACAAGATTTTGTTGAGAATTTTAAGGGTAAGTACATAACGTATAATATAAAAGTATTTTATATCTACTAATTTATCGGTTTCAAATGTATTGACCCCTCACTTTAACGTTAATTAAGGAAAAAACAGTAGATAAAGCGAAAAATCTTGCAAAGTTTTTTCATTAAGATATCAGAAATTCCTTTTTCTATTTTGATGGAACTTGGAGGCTATTTTGAGTACTGAGGGTTAAATTTATTTGTTCCAGTGACGTTAACAGATATTTCTAACAAAACACCTAATTTTTAACCAATAAAAACTACTTTTAATTAATAAAAACTATTTTTTAACCACTAAAAGCGTAATTTTTAACCAGTAAAATCTATTTTTAAGAGATAAAAATAATTCTTTAACAATTAAAACTGCCTGTTCAAGGTAACAAAATACTTTTTAACTGCAAGAAAAATATTGTTTAATCACTAAAAACCTACTTTTGAACCATAAAAAACTACTTTTTAGTGAGTAAAATTTTACTTTCTAACCACTGAAATTAATAAAAACTAAAAAGTACATGTTTAGGGACTAAAAAGTAAGTTTTTTTAATGAATTTTGACAGTTTTATAAAGGTTTCGGGAGACTGATTCATTTTTTGTTGCATTTAACAATATAACCTTAGCTTTTACAGACCCTAAAAACCTAAATTTAAACATTTCTCAAAAATACCTGACATTAATTTTTATCTAATTTCTTAACTTACTGAGCTAGGGGAGGGGGTTTCTAGGATCCACGACTGGTGCTTAAGTTTATTAAAATTCGAAATTTGCGTTTCTGAGATAGTATAAATAAAATATAATTTTTTTTTTAGATATTAAGGAAGGATCGTTTGGAATGGCCCACCTGGTAGATAGAAGAATGTTATGTTTTTATGTTCCTACCTATTTTAGTTAATAATCCTAATGGAATGGATTTTCTTATTCTATTCTATATTATAATAAACAGAAAACAATATATTTAGAATAAAATTTCTTTTAGGATTTTTCACAAAGAATAAATACCGGATTAATTTAAAGCTACTAACTGTTCATTTGAAATTTCTTGATACTATATGCCTTACGTTATTATACGTCTAAAGACAAATAAGTTTAAATTATCAAATAATAATTTTATATTACATAACCTACTGAATTTTTAAAATTCAAATACATTTCTGAAATATTTATTTAACAATATAACTAATATATTTATTACAAAATAATGGTCTCTTTTATTTTTGAAACCCTTCCTTTCCTATGTTGATCTGTATTTTCACCACAGGTAAAATAAACATTTATGTAAATTATATAGGTAGGTATATATTAGGTAAATTTGCTTTAATAAGTATATATAGTTTCTAATGCACGGCTAAAAAGTTAATTTTTCTATTTTTACAGAACTGGTTTCATTATGAAGAAATATAAAGTTCAGTTATCCTCGGTAAATCTGGAAATTTGACATTTAATACATGCAAAACATTCTTGTATTTCGACTTTAACTGAACTTTATTTTTTAATAGAAAAAACGGCCTAAGTGCTGAAGAAACCAGCCCTAAATAGCAAAATTTACTTTTAACCATCAACAAATACTTTTTAAAGGTAAAAATTAACTGTATAATCATTAAAATCTACTTTTTAAAGGTAAAAGGTTAATTTTAAACCACTACACACTACTTTTTAACCACTAAAAACATTTTTTTAAAGGTAAAAATTAATTTTTTATTAATTAAAACTACCTTTTTAAGGTAAAAAAAAAATTTTTTATTGCAAAGAAAGTAATTTCTTAATCAGTACCTAATTTTTAACCATTAAAAACTACTTTTAATTAATAAAAACTATTTTTTAACCACTAAAAGCCTAATTTTTAACCAGTAAAATCTATTTTTAAGAGATAAAAATAATTCTTTAACAATTGAAACTGCCTGTTCAAGGTAACAAAATACTTTTTAACTGCAAGAAAAATACTGTTTAACCACTAAAATCCTACTTTTTAACCATAAGAAACTACTTTTTAGTGAGTAAAATTTTACTTTCTAACCACTAAAATTAATAAAAACTAAAAAGTAAGTTTTTAGGGACTAAAAAGTAATTCCAAAAAAGTGAATTTATTAACCGTAGCAAAGTACTTTGGCTGTCGCCTATTTTAATAGAGTTTTTTTTTAAGGGTTAATACATTTTTTGCTACCATAGCAAAAAATTTCCCTCGGTGTAGTATTCTAAATAAACTCAACAAAAAAAAAATGAACACAGTATTCTAAACTGCTAATAGATCATTAAGTATGGCCTTTGCATTTGCAAATTGTTTAATTAGTTCGGTTATATCTAGCTTCTGTGCTATTTCATTTTAAATTGAAATAACTGCCAGTGATGATAATATGTCTTGGAGCATCGAGTTCCTTAAATAATTTGTATTCAGTTGAAATTTTAAGAAAGGTCTTTTAGCGGTGGCAACAGTAACAGGGATGATTAAAAGGAGAATGCTTTTATTGTATGTAACTTTTGTAGATCTGTTTTTAAACTTTGCCAAAATTTGAGTAAGTCTTTTGAAAATCCTTTTGAAATATCGTTATTATATTTTGTATGAAGAACCTGTCCCATTTAGAACAGATCATCACTGGCATTCACTAAAAATACTTTCGGATCTAAACATCTAAAACAACTACATATTATTTCCC